GTAAAGGAAATATCTAACATTTGATCAATTTGTTGAATTGTATTTGACTTGAACTACAATTTAAACACTTCAAACAAATTCAAAACACTACACACTTGTATGAACTATCAAAGTACAGGTTTGGTACATCATATCATCATGCTAAAATAATAAGACATTTACAAGCTAACATACCAAACCTTATCTTCAACAATCATCCATGTATTAAGAAATTTTAATGATCCAATAATATCCATGTATTAACAAATAGTACTGATTTAATAATCTTAGAATAATTTCAGCTAACTTATCAATTTCAACTTCTTTTCATCAGTTATTGCTTGGTTATTAGATCTCCCGAAATTAGCTGATTCCATGACTTAGATTTGTGAAATATGTCAATGCAATTCCTTTAAGCCATGGGTTGGTAAATGATACAATCATCATTAAAAGTTTAAAACTAAAGAACATAAAAGTTCCAAGAACCAAAAAATTTGAAATTTCATATAAAGAGGGAAACTTTAGTGTCCATATATTTCTGTTATAAAGGCAGCAACCACATGCAAATTAAACTCTTTTAAATTTACTCGTACAACCAGTACAGTAACGTGAAAGAAATCATATCATCAGATTATTCAGATTCTCTCTAAGAAAATGTTGGACCGACACATATTTACCACTTGCTAGCTTTGACAGTAAAAGTGGTACTGTAAATTTTTTAAACCCTCTGACAATTGACAAATTACCCTGTTTGGGTAATATACGTGAGATTCATGCCTATTTGGAAAGGACCAGTCATCAAATTTTTTAAATTATTTTTTAGACTAGGATGAGTCATCTTTTGTAAAGGATGAGTCATTAATTTGATCAAATTGTACTTGTTCATTTATGGGGGGTTTGACATAAGTATTAGGGGATTAGGATTAATGTTTTATGCGTACTTAAGCTACATTTCGGTGGGGTTTTGGGCGGTTTGAGGGGTAGGGGTGTTTGCATTTCACCATTGATGTAAATATTAATTTATTCGTACTTTAGCGTAATTTGGTTGTTTGGTATTGATAGTAGAATAAATCATGCATCTATGTTATTTCTCTTTTTAAGAATTCAAACGTGTCGATAAGTCAATTAGCTTAGTAAATTTTACATTTGTTATCCTCACGAAAGGTACTAGGATGAGAATTTGACCCTAAGTCATGCCTTGACTCCTTCATAGATGACAGACTCACCACTTAAGAGCAATTCAATATCAAAAGTAAAGTGTCAAAAAGATGCATGAACAAAAACCACACGCGATATTATCACACTTGCTTATATTGCACGCGAGCCGATGAGAAGCACCATCCTCAAACCTTAATACTTATGTCGCTCATAGGCCTTGTTTGGTAAAGAGATTTTTGGAAAGCTTTTAGCTTATTGAGCACTATTATAGGTTTGACCACTTTAAAAAGCTAATTTAGGTGTTTGGTAAATAGCTTATTCAAAGAGGTTTTTGGGTCCAAAAAGTTCTTTTTGAAAAAGCTCATTTTAAGAGCTTTTTGCAATTAGCTTATTGAAAAATTAGCTTTTTGGGTATTAAATACACTGAACAGTTATTTACCAAATACTTTTACATAATCAGCTATTTACAACCAGCTAATCAAATAAGCTAATATAACCAGCTAGTCAAAGCAGTTAAGCTACATCAATTAGTTAAAAACCAATTACCAGGGCCATAGAATCATAGTCATCCAAAGAAGTAATGGACTGTATAACATAACACAAAGAGAGGAAGTTTCTTCTAACAAGATAGCTACCCTTCTTCCTCCACTTGTTTGTATATTTGCCAAAACAATTCTCTAATTTCATTTAATAATATTGCGCCCTTGAAGTCCAAATGTCACTCATATCCTTAGAATAAAAACCCCGAAAATATTCGATTTCGTATTCTCTCTTCTCTCTAAAAAAAGCCATCACCTTTATTTTCCTCTCTTTCTCTCTCTTCTTTCTTCTTTCTTCCTCTGCATTCAGAGTTCAGTTTCTTTGTCTCTGCTTCAAATTTCAGATCTAAAAGAATCAAAGATACAATCTTTAGAAAAAAATAATGAAGGTATAAAATTTCTCCACTAATTTGGATTCTGATTCTCATAACTGAAAGTTCTTTAGATTCTATTTTATATTATTAAAGTTTCAAGTTCAAAGGTTATTATCTTTTTCTGCCTTTGGTTAAAAGGGTTATATCTTTTTGCTTTTGCTGTATGTTTCGATCATATGCTTTTGATTTTTTTTGTGAGTAATGTATTAAGCAGTTAGTTAATTAGCTCAAAAAGTAAGAAATTTAAGACATGATGTACTCTGTTTAGCCCTGTTTCCCCCTTTTGTTTTTGTTGATTTCGTGGAATGCTACGATCAATAATTTAGAAAAGTAAATCTAATTTTGAAATGGTATTTTTGATTGATTAATTAGCTTGGAAAAAGAAAAAAAAGAAAATTGAAATTAAGTCCGTGAGTAAAATAATTATCTGTTATATTGACAAGCCCTGTTTTAATTGTGCTCTGTTTATAATCATTTTTTTTTTGAAATTGAAAAATTTAAAGAAAAGTGTGAAATAATGTTTGTTTGGTTGATTTAATGACAGAAAATTGTGTTGAAATTGGACTTGCATGATGACAAAGCGAAGCAAAAGGCTCTTAAGTCAGTTTCTACTCTTCCAGGTAATCAAAACCACCAAATTTTTACCACTTGAAAATCTAATTGTGTTCTGGTTAATTAATTTTAATAGATGATTAACAAAATAATTCTTGTTAGATTTCATATTAAAAATATGAGAAAAGAATGTTACGGATGATGTACTCCGTAATTCTATTTGGAATTTTTTTCTGATGCAAGCTTGAAGTTGATTTCATCAATAATTAGCAATTTGTTGGCCCCACACTTTCGATATCATTCTCTTCTGAAAAAAAAAATGGAACCTTGTTTATTATGTTGTCATTATTGATTTTGTTTAGTAAATTGGAATATTGTAATGGATCATGTCATCATTTTTTTTGAACCACAAGGGCTTTGTAAATTACGGAGTAGGTGAAGGGATATTTGAATTCGTGAGGCTGTGACCTATCGTACACAAACTCTTGATATTTGCTAAACTGAACTAGTTAGGACCTCATTGTTCATCATGTCACCATGTGTAATTGTAGCCTAGCTTGTAGGAAATACTCGTATTTGGTATTTTAGGAATAACTTTCTAATTAATTATTTCTTAATAAATTCTAATTCCGTTACAATTCTGATTGAGTGAGCATGTTTTGTGTAAGATGGACTGCATATTAGTGAGATTTTTTATCTTTAATTTTTGCTGGAGCTGTTTAAGGGATAATTATAAATTTGATATAAGTTACGTAGTGTACATGAAAACTATCTTGCTATAATAATATCATAAGACGATTTTGATATGATCTTTTCAATAATTGTGGTTATTTAACAAACGCTTTACAAGGATGTTTGCTATACATCAAGCTCTTAACTCCTTTCAAAGCGTTCCATTTTGACTACAAGTCCATTTATCATAAATGTTAATACAAGTATATAATTACATGTCAATTTTTAGTAACAATGCAATATTATTTGTCCCTTTTTTGAATGTCAATGAAAAGAATATAATTCTCCATTTTGAATTGGCTTTGGAATGGTACCAATTACCAACCTTAATTACTTTCATAAATTTCCAAGACCAACTACTTCTTGAAAATTGACATTAGTAACAACTAACAAGACAATTAACTAATTAAGGTCCTAGGAATCTTGTTTCCTACATTAGGATCTGCTCATTGTTTGCAAATACTAGCTAATGATCTAATGCAATTTTACCTAATTGAAAATGTAGGGATTGATTCTATTGCAATGGACATGAAAGAGCAAAAGTTAACTGTGATTGGCACGGTGGATCCAGTAAGCATAGTAAGCAAATTGCGCAAGCATTGGCCAACCACGCACATATTTATCGTAGGACCTGCAAAAGAGCCGGAAAAGGAGAAGAAGGAAGAACCGAAGAAGGAAGAGGAGAAGAAAGAAGAGCCGAAGAAGGAAGAGGAGAAGAAAGAAGGGGAAAAGAAGGAAGAGCCTAAAAAAGAAGGGGAAAAGAAAGAGGAGCCAAAGAAAGAAGAGGGCAAAAAAGAGGAAGAAAAGAAGCCTGACCCCGTGCTCGACCTTGTCATGGCTTATAAGCAATACAACCCTCAAATGACTACACACTACTATGTTCAAAGCATGGAAGAGAACCCGAATGCTTGTACTATATGCTGAAAAAAAAACCGTCGGCCTCTTTATTTTCCGAGGTTGGACACCAAGGGCAAATGATCCTTGAACAAACAATGCAATCTATATAGTCATTTGAGGACTACTGCTGCTTCTCTGATCTATTTTTCAGAAGTGGGTTATGTGATCGATCAAGCATGTATAGCACCTTAATTAAGTACGGAGTAATATTTTTGGTAGCGATCTGAGCTAATTAAGCTCATTAGTATTTTAATTAAGCTTCTTAATTTTCTTATCTGGACAGTCGATCATTTGTATATAATTTTTCTTGGGGTAGTATTTAATTGTCAAAACAATTTCTTTGGATGTTAGTTTATTTATTCAATAATAGTTAATAAATATTGCATTCAGAGTGTATTTTAGAAAAAATAATTAGTGTCTCACAGTAGAAAGACGTATTGTTGATGTGATTGTTGAGCTGCTAATATGATGTTGGCTTACACATGAAAGATTTTACACATGTTAAATGTGGCGAATTATCTTACAGTACTGTACTTAGTGATGTGAGTGAATAATATGATGGGAATTTACCATCATTGAAATGAGGAACAACAATTGAGACCATAGTAAAATTAGTTGAGCAATCCATATCACGATCGAGTTGCTTCGAAAAGCAAAGATTGTGAGGAGTTTGATTCATACAATAAGATGTATGTTAGCAAAGTACGGAGTATAAGCAAACAATAAAATGTGTTCGATAAAATTAACAATATATATAAGCTATCTTCGAAAAACAATATTTGAGTTTGACTCGTTACTCAAGATTATGTCGAACTTTGATTGATCGGTTGTGTACCACCGCTAAGATCATCAAAGTTCTTGAACTATCTTCGAATTAATTCAAGCTAGCTAAGCCAAATCCGATTACACATACATCAACTCATTTTAAGCCACGCGTATTTTAAATATTAGTACGGAGTAGTCATTATGAAGAAACTTGTACGTCCAAGTAAATGCATGAAAGCCTAGATCTGATGAAGTTGATGCAAGCTTCTTGGGCGGCTAGTGGGGCAAGGAAAGTGTACAAGAATGAATGGTGAAAGGCTGAGAGCCAAAAGGATTCGATCACGGGTGGGTCACAAGCTAATAATGCCCACAAACTTACGCCCAAATTACATAATGTTACGTTGGTATACAACTATACATATAGGTGGGACAATACTTCATGTCAATTTCTTCTGCCATGCATTTATATATGCAAGTATTTATTTATTTATTTATTTTTATATCAATCTAATTCTATATATAATGTTTGTTATTGGTATTTATATGGTTGTAAATGCCGACCCTCGAATATACTTTTTGCTTTTCTACGCACAAATACAATCTAATTGGGTCCCTTAATAGTTGACCAAATTTTAAACAGACTAAAAAGTAGTTAGTTTTATGAGATTATGTATTGTATTTACTAAAACATGAAATTAGCTACATACGTGATTTTATTTATACTTATATATGCTTCTTCATATAGTATTACTTAAAATGTTTTAGGTTCTGGCTTTAACGAGTGGAGATTGAGGAATGGGAGAATGAGGTGATAACAAATTATGTGGTGACATGAGACTACTTTCGTCGATTCTTCGATTGTTAAAGCTAAGACGACCAAGTTGCATCTGTTCCTTCCTCTTCTTAAGCGATGTTTTTGGTTTTACCTCCCTCTTATCGCGCTTTACAAAGGATCTAATCCTTTGGAGGGCAACTTCCACGGTCCCATCATCAATGTTTGCGAAGCACACCCTAAACCATCCAGGCTCCGAGCAGTGGAATGATGAGCCTGGTGATACATTGATTTTCACGTCATTTATAATTACTCTCCATAGCTTTAACTCCCCTTCCGTTGTTGCCTCCTCCAATAGGTGTCGCAAGTCCATCCATACAAATAGTCCAGCGTTGCTCTTTAGGCACTCGATCCCAACTTTAGACAATTCGCCTGTAAAATGTTGGTGCCTGAAAAGGGGCACAGAGAATTATTAGTACTCCTTTATTTACTTTGTCTAAGAATGAGTTATGACCTAATGCAAATTTAATGGTCATCATGTTTTCACTAATAAAAATAAATTTGCATCACATACATGAGCTTTATATGCATGGTATGTATCTATGCATTTTTTATCAACTATTAGTGTATGTCATGCACAATTTATACCGGTCTTGAGATTGGTCTAATAAATATACCTTCGCGATAGCCTTTCTCGGCTTGTGTCTAAGAACCTTGTCACGAACTCATCATCGGACAACAAGGCGGCTAGCATATGTTGCGTTTGTGAAGAAACGAGCCCAAAGCTTGACATCCTACGAGCAGTGGTCACAACGCGGTCATTGTAAGAGTACACAATCCCAACTCGGAACCCTGGCATGCCCATGTCCTTAGACAAGCTATAGATGATATGAATAAGGTCAAGGTTAACGTGTGGCATGTCCGTTACAATCTCGGCCACACTAGTGTACCTTGGCAAGCTAAATACAGTAGCTGCATATATTTCATCACATACTAGATGAATTCTTTTGTCATTCACAAAGTTTACCAACATTTTTAGGGTATCCTTATCTTGGACTGTCCCTAAAGGATTAGAAGGGTTTGTGACGATTATGCCCTTAACTCGAACGTTCTTCGTTAGTGCATCTTCATAAGCTGAGATTAAGGCTTGTTCAGTAATCTTGAAACCGTTCCAACTTTCACAGGTAATTGGAATTAGTTTTACGCCAGTTCTCCAACCCAAATCACGGTTAAATCTGCATGAAAATGACATACAAATCAATAATTAGTGGCTAATTAAATCATTTTCATTGTTCCCTACACGTATAGGTCATGTTGGTTTGTTGTAGGACACAAGGAATCTCTTTGTCTGGTAATAGTGATGTTCTTTTGGAAATAAAGTATATGACAAATATGCACTTTGAAATTCAATTTTGTCAATGTTTGTAAGATTTAATCAAGGTTTAATCTTTTGGGAAATCTTTGTATTTAGACGTACCACACAAAAAGTGAAAACTTTGGATAACAGTGATAAAATCATGTTTACTATTAAGATTTTGTTGTTAGCTGTCATCCACCTTAATTAGTTAGATCGTGATCAATTTTGCAACACTCTTATCTTTGATGCATGACATACTTATACATAAGATGGACTTGTGTGAACAGAATTTGATTTATAGTTGACACTTGACTTCAAATATTGATTAGTATGTACGTATATCATGTTGTATTAATGGATTTAAAAGCGTTAATATATTTTCACTAATAAAAATCTCTCTTTCTACTATGGGTGGTGAAACAATTCACATACAATAGCTAGCAAGAAAAAACTTTTAATGCAATGATACAATTACGGCTTTTAAAGCAATATATTAATCCAACATGGAGCATATATACTTGTATAATACTGCCTTGTGCACATTATACACTTTGACTAATACAAAATACTACCTAAGTCAAATGGAAATTATACAACTTAGTCCAACTTGAAAACATGTGTTTGACTAGCTATATATCTAGCTAAGGAAAACAGCTTTATGGCCTAATTTAATTATTCTAATGCATGATCGATCACATCCAAAGTACAACATTTATAGGATTATTTGACTAGCTAGCGAACACGCTCTAACCACATAGTTCTTTTATAATTTTAAACTTTTACGATCGTATAAAGGTTAGTAAGGTATCATTATACCTTATAGTGCATGGTGACCTATTACATATGTTAACTTAACATAAAAAGGGATGAGAAATGATTATTCATGTTGCACCTTCCACAAGTTACAACTCATATTTTCATACGTAAGTTTAACCGACTTTTTGTGTTGCAAAAAGTCTACGAAATCCTACAAAGTGTAATAATAATGTCAATAAATGATGAAGGTGATTTGTCAAGTACACGTACGCTGGATAATAAGGTGAGGGGACCAAAAATGCGTCTCCTCGATCGGCCAAGCAAAACAATATCGTCTCATTCGCACCGGTGGCTCCTCCGCTCATTACTATTCGTTCGGGGTCGAAGGTCACTTTGTCACCTCTCGCTTTCCCCATGAACTTTGCAACAGCCTGTCATGATAGCGTAACATTAAAAATTACATACATAAGGGCACGAGTCAATTCTATAGAGAAAGTAATAGAAACTTACAGAACGGAACTCGGGCAAGCCATGGTAATCTTGGAATATAGCAATTTCCATAAACTTGTCGACTCCTTCGGGTGTACATATTGAAGCTTGTGGGTTTTTAAGCATCCACTCCTTGACTAAATCAAAGCTAAGCTGCATGGAGAGAACACATAGCACGTACATGCATGTTAGTACTTCAACATTTCACCACTTATAAGTCTAAGCTACATGAAATAACTCTAAAAGTACATGCATATATATTAAAGACGCCAAAATAATGTATGACTAACCTGATTTTCAGCAAGTCCCATTTGAATTACACCATTAGGATTGCTGGAAGAGTGGTAAGGATCATTATCATAAGCCTTCCACCCGTCAAAATACTCGACATCCTCGCCGTGCCCATTGTTTGTTGCTACCTTGGAAAGAAGTTGATGACTATCGTAAGCACCGTTGCTCATTGACGACTGCATTTTTAAACAAATAAGAATTTTCAGCTATGAATGTTTCTTTTGTTCTTGTATTGTAGTTGGTGGCAATTGGGTAGTGTTTGTTAGGGTATAAGGAAACTACAATGTAAAATTTGTTGGGAGAAAGTAGAGAATATAGAAGAAGAATTTAATGTTGTTAAGTCCAGTGAATTATAAGAGAATTTGAGAGATAAGAAATGAAGCGTTATGCACTCTAATATTTATAGGCCGGAAAATCAAGGTTAATAGAAAAAAAAAATACATTGAAAAGTCTATTTCAAAGCGTTAGAAAGGTATAAATTTCCAAAAAACGTTAAAATAATTTTGATAAAAAATAATAAAAAGTAAAAAAGGAAGGTGCTTGAACTAGCAAAAATGGTGAGAAAAGTAACATAGAAAGACATGGACCCATTTAAACCTCAAAAAAAATGTTGTCACAGTTGGCCGGTTTTATTCCGTAATTGCTTGCGTAAGTAATTTGCATCCCCTAAAGCACGTGAGGAGGGGAAAGTATAGTATGGTCTACTTTTAGACTTTTTATTAGGCATAACCTTTTACTTGATCATCATTAGTCAATTTTTCGTCTATCTTTTACTCGTATTATGTATGTACGAGTGTACAACTACTAAACAATACGAAGTATATATGTACCACTACTAAACAATACGAAGTATTTAACTTTTCTTCATAGCCTCGTAGGCATAATTTTCGAGTTAATTAGTATAATGATAGAGAACTAATTATATAAAATTTAACTTAATCCCTAAAATGAAGTCGAGGACCATAATTTTAAGGAACATTCAATTCCTTCTTCTGAAGGGAAAAACCTAAACTTTAAGATTAATAATGACTTTGTAAATTTCTATCGAAATTTACATAAATGATAGCTTGCGCTTTACATGGAATATTGTGACCAGTAAGTTTAGAAAGTTTGTTGACAGCATGTTCTTTATAGGTGTGAGTGTAGCAAACTTCGTTAAACGTTTATCGAAATCAAGTGGCATGCACATCTTCCATACTCCGTATATATTACCCTAAATAATCCAAGGACATTAAAATTATATATCCCAAAGGATAATGTACCTACGATTTCAAGGTCATTATACGGAAAGAATAACATATTTATATTTAGAAGAAATAGTTTCCCCCTTTTTCTTTGTTTGATTTATATAAACAAAAATATATTCTTAGGAAAGAAAAGAAGTAATGCTATGTTTTCCATAACATCTCAAGCATAAACCTAAGTTCTTCTAATATACGCATAATTAATTACCCTCTATATACAAGCTAGATAGTACAATTGATAGGTAGCAATTTCAAAAAATGAAGACATACTTGGTGTAATATTTTGTTGGTCAATAGTACCTACTCCCTCCGTCCCTTATATTTTGCTCCATAGTGTAATGTTACTTTATTAAGTTTTGGTTGGAAAAAAGTGGTGGGGTTAATGGGGTGGTTGTGAGAGTAGAAAAATGTGGATCTATATGTCCAAAAATAGAATGGGGCAAAATTAAAGGGACACCCTAAAAAGGAAATTGCTGCAAAAATTAAGGGACAGAGGGAGTACATATTTATAATTTGCATAAGAAAGTCCAATCTATATTTATCTATCTTGTACATTTATATGTTTATTTATGTCACAAAAACAATAGGAAAAACTATACTACTACCACTAATCTCATAGTAAGATTTAATGTCTAACCAAATCTCATTGTAAGATTTCTGTCTAACCAAATCTATGAAACAAACATTATAAAATTACAAAGTAATCCATAAAACACGTTATAAAACAAGGGAAGATAGATGAAAACTGAAGTATCATGTGAAACATAACAATAATAGAGGACGAATTGAAGTGACTACTATAAAGTGTAAACCGCGGAAAAGCAAGCACACGCTTGTGGACCATAACTAGTTTTTGTTTTCCTTTCGGTAAATAACACTCTGTACCCTTTTTCCTTCATACTACTAGTACAGTAGTAGACTAGTAGAACAAGAACTTCCTTAGTTCCGAAGAGTAGTATAGTAAATTTATAAATAATGTAGTCATTTAAGTCAAACCCTGCATTCAATTGCCATGTGTCCTTAAATGTATTTTGCCTGTTGTAGAAAACGACTTCACATAAATTAGGAAATCTTTCTTTTTTGTAATCGGATTGGACGGTAACAGTTTTTTGAGTATATATAGAATGTGCTTAAACATTGATCATTCATTCATTTGCGATATAAAAACAAATTCGAACTCAAATTTAAGATTGATAAAAAGATTGATTCATAAATATCTCATGTTTGTATTAATTATATACTCCCTTTGTTCCTTTATTTTGGTTCCATTTGACTTTTTACGTTATTCAAGACGCATCTTATAATACATATATCTCTATTTTCATTTGCGTAAAAATTATAAGAACTTCATATTAATAAAACACGGGAGTATATATAATGAGACAAACGCAACAAGATCTCACATGATTATATTAACTCTTATAGATCATTGACAATTAATTGTCTAAGTTTTTAAAGTTTAGCCTAAATATTGATAATGGGGCAAAAAATTAGGAATAAAGGAAGTATTATACACCCTTGGTTTTCCAAAATTCTACAACACTTTTTATCTTATTTTTTATTTGATCTAATTTCTACTAACTTTTACTAATTGATTCTTTCTGTGACAACATTTGTTCATTTTACTTATAATCTACAATTCCACTTTATAGGTCCCATCTTCACTGTTTTTTTTTCTATGATTATTTTTTATTTGCGTAGCTACATAGTCTAAGTAGAAAGTTGAAAAACGGAGACAATACAACTTTTAACAATCTTTCACCTTATTTCATAAACTGATTGATCAAAATTAGAGCGGAATGGAAAAATTCAAGCCAAATTGAAATTCGTATTCGAAAAAACATATATATGCCTCAAAATCTCATAAGGAAAATAATAAACCTTGCAATAGAGACTTACACCAAAATCTGCACAAATATAAAAAAAAAATTATTGATTCCAAGATCATTTGAAATTAGGAGTGGATCTTTAACACTTGACCTATCTCTTACTTTCACATACATATAATTTTAAACAACATAATAGTATTCAAATGGAGTAGAGGGGGTTTACTATCCCCCTAGAGTGATAGAAATTATGGAAACTAGCTAGGGTTTTTAAGAACATACTACCAATAAGAGAGAGGATGATTGATAATAATTTATGCATGATTCATGATCTATTACGAGTCACACTTACATATTACATATGCATCTAATTATTAGTTGATGAATAGGTAACAACGTCAACTAATATTGTGTTGTGTACTTGCATTACATATAAAAAATTTGCTTTAATTTATATATTAACTTTATTTTTATTATTAACGAATAATTGCAAAATTAGAATATCATCAAATATTAACGAATTTATAATTTATCAAGGATATACCGACGCCAATATTTAGCTAGTATGTGAAATCGAACCTTGTCACTGACTTATTTTCAAAATTCCAACCATCATAATAATAATAATAATAATCAAGTGTGACTTTAAAACAAAAGTCAACAAAACATGCTCATTTGCCGTAATGACTTTTGAAGCTAAAAGTAAATGGACTTTGCCTACTACTAATTGACTCATTGCCAATTCTACGTACTTGGTTAGCCACACGTCCAAAATTAATGTAGGTAGAGTACCATAACAAACTGCCTTCATTCTATTTATGCAATTAGCATTGTTTGCACGCACACTAATTAATCTCTATCTCCCTAATTAAACACACAAATTAATGACATCATAGTTGTACTTTGATTTTGTACTTTGAGAATTAATTTTTGTTCACATATAAATTCATCACTTTCTAGTCAAATTATTAATGGAATTCAAAGGACCCACATAAAGATACGGCTCTATACAACCAATTGTCTAATTGACAAGCAGCATTCGCATTAAGAAGTTGTAACTAGATTGCCTCTCTTACTGTTATATGGCACTAAATCCACGCTACCAAGTGTCGATTCAAATGTGTAATCGTGGAGAGGAAAAGGTAAAGCAAGGGTATCAGGGTATGTCCCCGAATGGACACGTTGATGATATTACTGAACTTGAACCATGTCAACGTTTGAGAGTAAAGGGATGAGATAAGAGAGCAAATTAAATGTAGTTGGGAGGACTCGAATATATAACTTAAAGTCACAAGATGAGTTCTCTCTATTGTCTTGTATTTAGAAAAGTGTTACTAAATAATCACATAATTTCATAATTTTCTAGGAAAAAAAAAAATCATTTTGTAAAATTTTATTGATGTTTTATAACAGTTATTTGAAATATAACTACCATATTATTTTCCAATCGTCAAAACCCAATCATATACACAAAGTCTTATATGTGGTTGGTCACACCGTATGGCCAGTCATCATAGGGGTTACTTCGTTAGTGTAACACGGGTTACTTGGTTAGTATTAAAGGAGTTACTTTGTCAGTGTTATAAGGTTACTCGGTCAACGTTATAGGGGTTACTCGATCAGTATTACAAGGGTTACTTAGTCAGTTTTAAGGGATTACTTTGCTCTTTTATAAGTGGTCACACGATATGACTAGCCACACACAAGACCGGCTGAATCATATATTGTATTAATGATGCATCAAAAGTTTGCAGTTTTAGCACAAGGCTTATGTCTCAAGTCTCAACTGAAGAACACGTTTTAGGGCACATGCAACCTACGTGTCTATGGCGCTATGCTACCCTCTCTGTTGAAAAACGAGTGATGAGTAAATACAGAGTTAGTTGTTCACTTGTTTCTTTGACCTAATTATATCTAAATTCAAGTGAAAGTCCAATCTCCAACTACTCAATACTAAGTGCGTGAGATTGAGTTGTAATTCTTTATTATTCCAATTTGTAATTTTTGATTTTTTTTTCTGAAAATATATTACAAGTAGTACCTAATTATTATTATTTTTATTTTATTTTTTGAAAATTATATTACTAGTAGTAAAGACTACAAATTAAAAAGAGACGGGGTCAAGTAATTTTGAGTCAAAATACAATTATGATCGGGTTATAATTGTAAAAATCAAAAACAAACCCACAAAAAATATGGCTTTGATCTGATTTAACATTTTTGCTGCTCGTCACTTTATTCTATATGTTTTAAAGGAGAATAATATTATAAGTATATCATGTAATTTTCTTCAAGTATATAGTAATAAAATTCCTAAAGTTGATAGCGATTATAGTAAATCTTAATTTGATGAAGATATATACGTGAGTAAAAGAATGATGAGCGTAAATCGATCATGTTAAACCCCTCTCAAAGTGAGATTAACCCTAATATTATACATTCATCAATGACTGATCAATCATCCAGAATTCTCGCTCTCCAGCCTGCAAAAATTATATAATCACTATTGGATACTAGTAAACACACAAATACACAATGTGCACACGACACGTTATGCTTTCATGAGTACTTGCAATAGATAAATAAAGTTTAGGCTAGCTTTATTATTAAATATTAGACTTGCTTGGACAATACGTTATATGGGAGGCATCATTTACCAATTTATTACGGAGTCAAAATCCTTGATATATAATATTAAACGTAGTCAACACTTTTAGTAAATGGTAATAATATTAATCAAAAGCTAAGGCAGGAGATGATGAAAGTACTCGTAGCGAAAGTTATTTTGGAATTTGCATACTTAATTTGGTCTAATTACTTGGGAGAAAAGGCATCAACTATTTGGTCCATTTCTATTAAAGTAAGAATACTCGTATTAATTTTTATACCAGTATATTTTTTAGTTCTCCAAAATGCTTTACGCTTTACAGTGCATGCAGCTTAGCTTTTTAGTTGGCGGGCGTGTTTAACTTACTCTGAAAATTTTACTCATTTGTTGATTAAATACGGAGTATTTTATTCTCATGTAATTAGGAGTAGAAAGAGAGATTAAAAGCATTTCTACCCTAAATATTCTCACTTGATAGGTTTAAACCCAAGATCATTTCTTGATAAGTGAGCCAACACTGTGTTAGTAATTTTATTACTTAAAGTAGCACATTAATACAAGTGGGATCTATTACTTGGAGTAACTTGGAGTGAAATTATATTTTTTTATATAAACTTGTGCTTCAACATACACATAATGTCGGACAATTACAGATAGAGTAAGGAAATAAATCCACTTAAAATAGCATAGTAATAATAATATTTGAAGTCACTTAACAATATACTCGTATATGCCATTGTTTTATTGTATATATGGTCAGGGTCATTCTCCTTACCTTAAAAAAAAAAAAAAAAAAAAAAAAAAAAAAAAAAAAAAAAAAGTTTATCAAAGTTTGACTAAGCTAAAGAGAGTACAAATTTTACAATATAGCATTCAAAATAAACCCCAACAAACATGGTATTGAATTTCGAATTTTGTGGAGGAATTAAGTCTAGCTATTTTTGGAATGATATTTTACTACAATGCAATTAGTAGTGTAGAAATCTACTTGTACATAACTCTATATATTTTTGCCTTTTTAATTGATTGCAGAATTTAGAACTTTATAATATTAATGCAATGTTACACTTGATTAGAATGTTACTTGTAACATACTCTCTTACCATTAAATAATTACGGAGTATCCGTTACGTACTAAAGTACTGAAGCAACTTCAGCTAAATTTCAGTAGCATTTTTTTTTAATCTGAAGAGATTTTCTTGTCAACTAATTACAAATATTAAAATGAAAATATAGGAAAAAATGTTTGAATGTCGGAATATCTATAAATTAAGCATATTTTGTGTAGCAAACCTAACCAAACAATCTATGGATTATCAAGTCTCATCAACAATTACTTTCTTTGTTTTCTTTTAATAATAGTATTGAAAGTTTCATGTTTTTTAGTGTAACAATATAACTAAGGCTTGAAATATTTTTAACTACTATAAGAAGAAGAAGAAGAAGAAGAAGAAGAAGAAGAAGAAGAAGAAGAAGAAGAAGAAGAAGAAAGAAGAAGAAGAAGAAGAAGAAGAAAGAAGAAGAAGAAGAAGAAGAAGAAGAAGAAGAAGAAGAAGAAGAAGAAGAAGAAGAAGAAGAAGAAAGAAGAAGAAGAAGAAGAAGAAAGAAGAAGAAGAAGAAGAAGAAGAAGAAGAAGAAAGAAGAAGAAGAAGAAGAAGAAGAAGAAGAAGAAGAAGAAGAAGAAGAAGAAAGAAGAAGAAGAAGAAGAAGAAGAAGAAGAAGAAGAAGAAGAAGAAGAAGAAGAAGAAGAAGAAGAAGAAGAAGAAGAAGAAGAAGAAGAAGAAGAAGAAGAAGAAGAAGAAGAAGAAGAAAAAAAGAAGAAGAAGAAGAAGAAGAAGAAGAAATTAAAGTTCTAAAAATACATTGCATATTAGTATAATTATACAAAATTTTGGATAATAACAAATATATATATATATATATATATATATATATATAGCATAGTTAATTGAATGTTGAAACTTGAATCTATTGGCGTGCATAGTTGCATGTAGAACAAGCCACCTAATGTTGGTGGTAAATTCCTTAATCAATGGGCTTACATGCATGACCATAGATTCAATAGCAACTTTTGCTTTGCTTTTGTTTCATTTACTTAATTTTCTATTTAATTTTCTTCCTTTAATTTATTTCTCTCAATTCTCTCAATAGCTAGCAAGTCATTGTGAGGATGCATTTTGAGATTAAACAATTGTTTGTAACTATATAAGTTCACTAGTTGGTCACATAAAGGCTTGAAATGGCGTTGAGTCATCAATCATGAAAGATATATGTTGTAATTGGCTAATTTAATACAAACAATATCCCTACCATTAGGTTTTCAATGTCCCAATAATGAATATTGGCTCAATGATAGCTATTCTGAAAATTTGTAATTGTACTAGTCAAGTGATCTTCGTAAGAGATGATTTCAATAACCAAATAGACAATATATTCCAAATTTGATGTTATAAATTACTACTATTTGATTTAATAATTTCTTATTGTTATACATTCGAGTCACAAATGATACGAATATGATTAAAGCTAGCTTACCTCTATGTAATCATACAATTCGTATAAGAACATGTAGATTTTTTTACTGTCTAACAGAATCATATCTACCTCATACTTTTTGAAGATAAGAAGTTGAACTGTTGAAGAGTATTAAGACTCCCAAATCCAAGTGAATAGCTGGCAGCAAGATAAGCTCTTATATTATACAACTACCTACTCGTATATATATTAAAAGTGCGTCTTATTTTTGAAGTGACTTTCATTTTCATTTTCATGATTATTAGTTAAGTACGGAACGCTAATTAATTGTTTCTATCATATGATCACTTGTAAATATGATCTATTTATGTAGCCAACACCTGGATCTAATTACTTTTCTCTTGCAAATCTAGAAGTTCATTTCTTCTCATAACCTCTCATTTGAATGCAATTGACATACAACTAATCTAGAAGTTCATTTCTTCTTATTTTGATTTAATTATGGCAATATCATACGAAGTAGTTTTTATCAAAAGATTAGAGTAAAGCAAGTAATAATTATGATACATAATTATCAGAGTATTGTCACTCATTAAAAGATAGAACTAATAATACGGCATACAGAATCGATTAGTATAAAGAAAATGGATACTGAGAAAGTTTGAAAGAGGCAAATTATTATTGACTTTGTTTCAAATTTAAATCAAAATTACAAGATACGTAAGTTTTACACAATGATATCCAAACATTAGCTGACTTGAAGAAAGGGAGGTCGACAAAAAGAGTATTTTATTATCTCTTATACTACAAGTTGTGAACGTCAATTAATTTAATACTAGTGTACTACCTTTGTTAATTCCTTGATGTTTTTTACGCTTTTTATTTGTATCCAAAATTTGAAAAGTTTGACGGTATATTTTCATCATTATATACATCAAAACATTACCCAGTTACATACTACGGAGTACAAAGTATATTTAGAACCGAAGATGATATAAAGGGGTATTAGTCTATTAGACTACACGTTTACATATAAGCAAATCGTAAAAGAGAAAATTGACTTCATAAAATCTACTTTATCTTGTCGAAATTTCGCACAAATATGCATGATAAGTTGTGAAGTCAATCTTATTGAACCTTACATTTTTCTTGTAGGATACATGGTCAAATGCCTATCGTAATCTACCAATTAAAAAGAGATTTTTCATCTGTATGACTGTATCTCTGTACTAATTTGGACCACCTGCTGCCCTCCATAGTCTTGCTCTCTTCTAATTACAGAAAATTCAATTCAATTCAATTTAATGTATTTTCTAAAATTCTGTTCTTAGGAATAAAATAAGCCTTCTTACACAAGGGTTATGCTTATTCAGCATCTACTGCTGGAGTGTGAACTATAAGATTGACTATGGAAATTTGAATCCTTCATTTTCCATATGGAACATGTTAAGAGACAAGGTAAAGCAAGCAACTGCAACCCAATTGACCTCTTCTTAATTTTCACATGCCGTAATTACAGGAAATAGTACTACGTACTAAACAAGTCTATAAGTTATTGTCAGTTTGTCACATTGTCATAATCCGTCACAATTGATAATGCCATCAAATTTTCCAAAATGACTATTTTGTTTTTACAATAGTCAATCCAAATGAATATTCACATTACAACATCCCAACAAAAATGCCCAAGACACCGGACAGGCCAACACCAATGGAAGCATAAAAATGACAATTCATCACCCTCCAATCTTCCAGTACTCCTAGGAATTTTAAGTGCACCTTGGAATGGCTAGACAAAAAAAGTTGCTAAACTACCTGGTATACATTAATGACCTAATACATCTGCCCTACTTTGCTTGTTTGATTCTTTCAAATACTATACAAGGATCAGGTGGGTTGAACCTACCTTGTGGCTTGACCAAGGAATTTCTTTCCTGATGCTGATAGAATACTTTTGTGAGTTGAGACTTTATTTGTTAGCCTTCTTAAAGAAGTGTTCCATTTGCAGACACCCTTGAGACTGCATACCACTTGATTTCGTTACAGATTTGGGTCTCTTTGCTGAAGTAATGATGTCTCTTGCATCCTGCATTCACAGGATAAAATGCATTCAGATTTGAGATTCTATACATGAAAATTTTTTACTCCGTTATTTACCAAAGAAACAATAAATAAATACGGAAATGAAATTACTCCAAATAAGATCAGATGATCAGCTATGGACAGCAAATTGAATTGCCTTCTGAAGAAGGAATATGAAATCAGAAAGCATTAACTAAAAGGGAGGACACCATATGTATCTTGTTCGACCATTTCTACAATTGCCAACCTATTTGATGGTTGGGACTTGAATGCAACCAAATTTAACAAATTTCTACTTCATGTATGACTAACTTTTTTAAATCTCTAATGAAATGTTCATCTTTGTAAGAGTCAAGTCACATTGCTTCTTTATAGCTTTTAACTTGTACTTATCCTTTAGTCTAATAGATAGTCAGTTAGTCACTTATACTATTTTGAGATGTAAAACAATTGTCACATACCCTTTAATTCTTTATAGATAATGGCTTACTTTTCCCAACATATATGAAAAGAGAATGAAAAGAAGACAGCCAGTTGAACCTTAATCATGGAGGTTTGGGTCTTAGGGAAAATGAGACAATTAATTCCAATACCAAGGAAAATTATTAATATGTATATCATGTAGACATGCTAGGAGCTTTACAGATAATTTAGAACATTACACAAGTATCTAAGTGAACCTGGAATCCATGCAGAAAGTTGATTGTAGCAATCCTATCTTCACAACTCTAAAGGGGTAAATTTTGAATACATTGCTAAGTAGCCTCTAAGGGAGAAGTTAACATATCACCCCTCTCTTCTCTCAAGTTATTTATGATAAAGCCTACTAGAGAATTTTAGAGAAAAATCCAATCAAATATGAAAAAGCGATAAGATGATGGGACCTTGCTATTCTAGATTTCCAGGTATAAACAACTTTATGCAAGGATTTAATCATTAAGGAAGAAATCCTACCATAGATGCCTGATTAAGAGATCTCAGAACTTTAACCCTACCGCCCCTTCCGTCTGCTCCTTCAGCAATTAAAGTGTCAGTATTACTACTTGATCCCAGTGATGACTTGCTCTGTGGCCGCTTGCACCATTTTCCCAAATACCTGTTTGCTCCATCTGGTCCAAGTAACCCTCCAGTAAAACATCGATCTCCTGGAGATTATAAAGGATATGATCTTAGTATATTAGTACAAAGGGTTATGTAATGATAGGATTGACTATATACTGTACAAATATAATTTAATTGTAGTCTTTTGGCAAATTAATAAAACTTCAAGACTTAATTTGCATTCGGATTAACAATATGCAAAAAGAAATACCACATGCCTGGCTCAGCAAGAGGAATTGGAGCAGAGGTATCTGCTTTGGACTTAAATGAAGGCTGAACTTGTCTTATGTCCTGAAGAAGCAACCCCTTTGTATGAGGAAGATCATTAAGCACTTCGTTCCTTAGACCAGCTGAACCTGATAATCCAAATTGGTGATCTGGTTGCTGCATCCAATCCTCGTTATTGTCACAATCAACAAGCCCCAACGGTTTACTCTTCTGATTATATGTATCCTTGCAATTATCAGCCTTCGAATGGTAATCCACGGTTTTCAACTTCTGCAGTTCATCCTCATCACGGATCAAACTGTCATGACGTCTGACTTCCTTTTGGGGGAAAATACAGTCATCTTTATTTGTTTCCTTAACCACAAAAGGATTTTCATTTTCCTCTTCATCCAAATCAATCACTGAAGTTGGGGATTTTCCCTTTGGCTCAACAGTTGGATGCTTGAAAGCAAATGAAGGCTCGTTGCTTTTATTGACGGATGGCAAGATTACATCATTGCAATTTCTTTTCTTGGAAGTTTTTAAGGACCTTAATATTTCATTATCTTTTTCTTCGATGGCTAACTCCAGTTCCTGCACTCTTTTCTAGTAGCAGAGGAATAATAGCAAAAATTCAGATGATAGTCAACCATTGCTGATTGTAACAAAGCACTAATAAGATCAATTGGACTACCTTGAGCTTTACTATCTTTTCTTTTGCCTTCTCAAGCTTTCTCAGTGAACGAGCTTCTCCTCTCCCCAGAGAATTGCACTTAGCCATCAATTCTTTGTAGCTCCTGGGAGGAAATGAAATTTCAATTTGTTTATTGAGTATACTGGACAAAGGATTAATTATCTACTCTGAACTGGTGGACAAAAAAACAACACAGAAATAAAGTCACTGCATCTACATTATAAATTCTGGATTCAAAACAAGAGCATGACATTTTTGTCTGATGCAAGGGCAGAGATTCATCAAAGACAATCGCCAAGGCTTTTATACTAGGTAAATTATATCACTCCTCAATGTTTGCCTAGGCAGTAATAAATTCTTGGAACATTCTCTACCCAAATTATATTATCTAATACTTCCAGTGAATGAGACAGTCTAAGAGAAAACAGCATATCAAAAACAATACTACCAAGAACTAAAATCAATTTGTCCCTTTTACCAAGCAAAACTTTAAATAAGATTCAAATTTTTAACTTGTAGGTAAGGAAAAAGGAATAAAATCATAGATGAGAATGACAAATAGCAGTATCCCTTAAAATGGGTTGCCATTGTACATTTATGTACCTAACTACACAAAGAAACAGAAGACAGCCTGTGGATAGAACCAAAAGTTGGTACTGCTCTCCTACAAACCTCTAGAAACCAGTAAAGGGTTCTTGATAAGCCATATAATTCAAATCCACATTGGTGCCAAATGACTTCATATATTTCCCAAGCTTAAAGTACCATTACAATATTTATAGATTAGAGAGTTCTTGATAAGCCATATAATTCAAAACCACATTGGTGCCAAATGACTTCATATATTTCCCAAGCTTAAAGTACCGTTACAATATTTATAGATTAGAGAGTCCTTGATTCAAAATATTTGCCGTGTATACTGTAAACTCACTACAAAAGGCAAGGGTTGTAACAATTATAACCATATAAGAAACATTCCTTAGCAGATATATGTTCAGTATCCAAAATCAATGATGTAGACTGTAGTCACAACTTTATATTCCAGCGTAGCCATGAAGATATACACTTGCACTTCCTATCCTCTGGAAAACATCATCTAGGATCTTTATGTACCCATGCCTCAACATGAAATCTACTAGTGCAATAAAGAAGAGAGTAATATACAGTTCATTCAGCATATATCAAGACTTGCCCAAACAAACAAACACAAAGTGCAAACCAGAGGGAACAAAGGCATAGACTTCCATATTAGCATATATTACAGATCAAAAAATAAACCAACACTCATCACTTACTTGTTACAAATAACCCAAATAAATCAACACTCATCACTTACTTATTACGTATAACCAATGACTTCTTGAGTACATCAATTGCATCTTGGGCATTGCTTTCGTAACCAATCGTAGCAAGTTTCACAATCTCTTCTTCCTCCAAGTTACAATCTGACACCCTAAGCACAAAAGACAAAGCCAGAAAAACATATTAACACAATAATGCTAAGACTAACATTGGAACAGAAATTAAACGAAATGTTCACACAACACTTATACTAACAATTTCAGGGCAGCAATCTCTTTGACTAACGCCAAATTCTTCTCTTGCAACCTTGAGCATTCCAAATTCGATTTAACTAGATCCTACATCAGCAATGCTTTAGCCAGACGCTAATCAAAAAGCAGATGCATAAGACAGTATCAGTAGACAATTGATGATGCTAAAACTCACGCTAGATTTTGTTTGAAGCATTGCTTGGATGCACTCTTTGTTCCTCAAGGCCTCATTCTTTAACACTACTTCTTTGGATAGCTGTTCATTGCATGTTTGTAGCTGAAACACATGAAAGCCAGTAGCATCAACTGATTTTCCAAGACAAAAAGAAGATCCAAACAACATTTTGAAAAGTACTCCAAATAACATCAATCACACGTAGCTAGAAACATCCAACTTAGCAAAATAAAAGTGCTCCAAATTAGAGCAAAATGGTACTAGAATCCCCTTAAGACAACATCCAGCTTCAAATGTTTTGCTAGGAAAAACTTGATCAAGATAGAGCAACATGAAAGCATATAGTCCACAACCACAAAACTTGTAAAAACCTCACATTATTGCAACCAAAATGTAAAGCAGTACAAATACTTAATTGTTACTCCATTGTTGTTCATACAATAACATTATGTAAACTTTTAAACCTCACACTTTTGCACACAAGAAATCCAAAAGAACTAAACTTCATAGTTGCTAATAAGATAACATTCAAGAAAAGTCAGAAATTTAACCTAAAGAACCAACGTTGAGCAATTCAAATATAATTGTTAAGCTAATTTATAATCCAATAATCATATAAATTTGCCCAAATATTCAAACCCATTAATGAAATTACCTGATCATTGAGTTGTTTAAGGTCCTTCTGATTCAAATCTAAAGCAGAACTAAGCCCAGAAACCTTAGCTTCCAATCGTTTAACCTCCACACGCAATAATTCCGGGGATTCATCGTCGCCAATTTTGTTAAGTTTCTGGGTATCAATTTGAGATTGAGAACAAATCGGATCCCCAATTGATTGAAAATATAGACGACCCACACTTTTCTGGGTACAACCCTGCTTACAAACTGGACATGACTGTTTCTTCGTGTTCTTGCAATACTCGAACCATTGCTGTAAACTAGGGTTTTCATTTTCCAATCAATCAATTCAATTCAATTAATCTAATTAAAAACTACAAAAATCAAATAAACTAATGAACTGAAATGAAATGCAGAAGTACCAGAGTTCATGGAAGACATGGCCACAAATGGAGATAGCTTGAAGGTCTTCAACAATGGGTTTTAGATCTTCGTAACAAATTGAACATATTGTTTTTGCGAAGCTATTATTACACGAAGATCCCACCATTCCCTCGATGTTGAGGAAGAAGAAGAAGGTGAGATAATGGAGGGTTTAAGTCTGAAGAGAGAGGATGAAATTGGGGATTTGGGGGGTTTCTGGTTTTAGATATGGATTCTGGGTTGAAATCACCATAGAAAAAGAGGGAGTAAAGGCTGGAAAATGGAGGTGAGTGTAAAATTGAAATTTTCATTTTTGATTGTGCGGGGGAATTTTTTTTCTGGGCGGGAACATTTTTTGAGATTTGGGATTAATTCAGCCTATAAAAAAATTTCAGTGGTCGTTTGGTTCACTTAGCTGAAATGGATTGGTATAGATTATCATATTGGGTGCCTGGTTGGTATAGAATCTATATCCCATATCAATTTAAAGTTGTTTGATTTAACTATGGAATGGATTCTCATACTTGAGTGATAGTATGAATTATGAATCCTTATGGGAGAGGTAGGTATGAAATTTCAATGGAATGAGGTGGAGTTAGAATCCTCCATTTATGAGATTTCAACAGAATGAGGTGGAGTTAGAATCCTCCATTTATGAGATTTCAATGGAATGAGGTGGAGTTAGAATCCTCTATGTATGAGATTTCATACTTAAATAGCCCAACCAAACAAATAAAACCATGGAATGATTCTAAATCCATTCTAACTCATTCCAAGAAGTTCAATCAAACAACCCCTCTCTAGGTCCTCTGCCGATGTGCATTGTTCATAGAGAAATTGCCATTTACAATAAGTGATACGTTATAATAATACTTGTAAATGTTAAATAAATACTCCGTATTAAATTACCCTCCTTGACCAGTGTGGTAAAGGACAAAAGTTGGGCACTCGCTAGTCTAATGGGCCTCATGTTTCAACTTGTGTCTAGAACAAGTCAAGGAAAGATTATACGGAGTATCGCATTAAGATGATAAGCTCATGCTAAACTTTCATAACGGCTACAATACATAGCCTGACTCATGTACCATGTTGTGCAAATGAAATTGTAACACCCTAAAAATTTCTTTCCTTAAAATACCAAATTTTGCCCTTTCAAAATAAGAAGAAGGAAAAATCTAAGACATTACCGCCACTGTGAAAAAGGCTAAGGCAAATATCAAATACTCACACAGCGGAAGACTTTCTTTAAAACCATTAAAACAAGTCAACTTTAAAAAAAAGTCAAACCAAACGAAAGTAAAAGTCAAACAAAGTCAACCTACAACTTGGAACCATTGTAGGCCCTTAAAACCAAACAATACTGAAAACCTTTGCATTAGTCTCATGATCAATATAAATAAATAATACTTAAAGCAAATAAAACACATCACCTTCCTATGAGAACTAAACATGATTCGCTCTTCACTCATACCCTTCATGAATATGTTTCATCACCTGAAAAGCTTCTCTCTACTTGTCCTCACTACTTGCCATTAGAAATGGGTTGTCTTAGGGTCAAGGCAAAGACAAGGCCAAACAAACATGCAAACACACAATTAGCTAGTACATAAACGTAATAAAAACACACTAACATGCTTTCACTCTACCATCACACAACTTACCGTGTTGCACCTATTTACAAACATACAAGACACCCAACACTTAACTAGACAAATATCAATGTTCATTTAAATTTGATTACACATTGAACGGGTTTTCCCCTAACCTACCCCAATAAAGGGGTACTAACACGGGAGCTAACCGTGAAAGTATAAAATAAATCACTCATAAGTAGCGGAATTCATGCACATAATAAAAAGGAAAATACAGCGTCCTGTACTCCAGTAGAAGTTATGGTCAAATATAAAGTCGTAGAACTCCCCCCATATGTTCATACTCAAGGTATATATGTTCCAAGAGTTTTGGTGCGTAATTTCTTTCACTTTACGTTATTTACAAATTATTAGACATGGTGATGACTCTCAAACACAACACAAATCAAACACTATAAATTATTCAAGCATTTAAACATACCAATTTAATTCTTGAATAATTAGTGACCACATAAATTTAATTGTTGAACCCTTTTTAATCTACCTCGGTGTCAAAGACACCTTAAACGCATAATGCGCTACAAATCCTAACCCTCGGTGTTTAAAACATCTTAAGTGCAATTGGGCACCGAAAATATAATTTAATCCTCGTGTACATAGACACTTAAATAGCTCCTTCCTCATGCTTATAACATCAATAAAAATTATACGAACTATAATAAAATTCCTTTTCAATATTCAAAACCAAATTAAACATTTAGTTTAATTAACATGCTCTCTATCATGCCAATAATAAAAGTGTGGTTCATATCAACATGTCAACATAATTAATTCCAATCACTAATTCATCACAAATAATTCATACTTCACAAATCAATCACCAAATCAATCCAATCAACAAATTCCAACCAATATCTATCATGATACTAATTGGAATTGATTAAACAAAGTCTAGCATGCCTCTACATATTCAAATAATTACTAAGTACGCGAACGTACCTTGAATGTGATCTCAAAATTGCCACGACTAAATAAAATCACTCACTTAGAAGTCTCCTACAAACTAAAATTACAAAGAAGTATTAAACCTCTTTCACACAAATTTCCAGCAATATATACTCTCTTTAAATCACTCATAAACCTTCTAAAATATTCTGAAATTTAATTTAAAACCCTTAGTTTTATTCCCAATTAATGGGTAATTAAAAATTCTTCCAAGAAACTTAATTATAGCTTATATATAAAAATTCCAGCATTATTAAAACATCTTAAATTGCTGTAATTGTGTTTTAAAACACCTATTTCAATAATTTAAATCACCTACAATCAAATTCCATCAATAAACATTAATTTAGAAACCTAGGGTTTTCAATTTGGGGCTTCTTAATTCAAAACCAAATCTGAAAATTTATATACAAAATACTTATTATTAAACATCCTAAAATAATCACAAAACCCGAAAACAATAATTAAATCTAGGTAGATTTAATTAAAAATCAAAAGAAGTTTTTTTATTTTTTATTTTTTTTAAAGCATGGCGCACGACCACCATGGCTGGGCGACTGCCGTACGCCCGCCTGGTGGCCGCCGCTGCTAGTGCGGCGGTGGTGGTGGTTGCCAGCTGTGTGTGGCGTGTGGTGGTGGCGCCGACCGTGTGTGGTGGTGTGTGGGTGGTGATTAAAAATAGAATAATTAAAATTAAGGGAAAAGGGAAAAATTAAGGAGAAAAGAAAATAAGAGGAGAGAGAGAGTTTACCTTTGGGTGCATTCCACCTTAGGCATATAATAGGTATTTATACCCTCTCTTAACCCTTCTGCTTAAAATTCCTTTACTACCCTCAATGATCTCTTTCCTAGTCAAACTTGTATTTTGACTTTCCATAAATATCATTGACTTTAAAATTTATCTTTTTATAAAATAATATGCCCCAATATTTTTAAATCATTAAATAAAATATTTTCAAGATTATTAAATAATTAGAAATAAAATTTTAATTAAAATAATTCTTTTTAAATTAATAAAAACACCATAAATAATTCATTTCAAATTATTTAAATACTTTAGGAAATACTTATTTAAATCAAAATACGTATAAAAATACAGGATATTACGAAAATGTTAAGTGGTTAAAGATAAATGAGTTTGTCTTAGATTTTTTTTTTTTTTTGAGGAAATGAGTCTGTCTTAGATAATCGTACCTAAATTGTAAAAATAATGTACATGTACAACTCATGAACCTTTAGTATACCTCTTTATACCATGGCAGAAATTTTAGTAGGATCACATCAGATCAAAGTGGGTCATTGACCCCAAATTATATCTAGCTTAGTACGTAAACTATGGAAAAAATAAAAAATTGTGCATCCCATACCCTTTGAAGTTTTGAAAGTTTAGAACTTTTATTACATCATACGAGGACTTCTAGGACTCTAATAAGGGCATATTCGTCTATTCACTTTTACCGTACTTGGAAAAAAAAATGCCATAACACGCGTTGGTATTTCATTATACTTTAGAAGTTTAGATGGTATTATCATGATATCAACAACCTTATTCAATGACACCAACGAATGTAAAAATGTTTTGTTGGTATCGATATAATATGTTGTTGGTATCATGTGAAATACCAACGTGTGTTATTAGAGTCATTCATGACTCTAATTAGTAGAGTCGTAGAAATCCTCTACATCATACCTCATACTATACACTATGCTTCGCAAACAAGAATTTAAAGATTGGCACCCTGGTTTGTGATTACTAAGAATAACAAAACACCACTACATTTGTCAAATATTGTATGTCTGCATGATGCATGTTAGCTAATATTTCAGGAGTGTCCGAGGAAACCCTCCAATGCCTAAGTTAACTAACTCGGATAGTTGGATACCTTTGGAGTACTCTTTGAAGACTTAATGCTCGTTTGGTTCCCGTGGGAATTAACTTCTTATGGGAATTTATATTTCATGGGAAATTTTTTTCCTTATGATTTTCGTAGGAATTAAGCTAAATTGTTTGGTTGACACTATAGAATATTGCATTTTCTAGGAAATTCAACTCACCAAGGGGGGAGTTGGTGAGTAATTTCCCATGGGTTGTGGGAATTTGTATTTCCCTTGAAATTGCTATTTCTCATGTTTAGCTTATTTTCCTCCAACCAAACACACCTTCATTTTAATGCTTCTTAGGAAATTCCATTTCCAAGAAAATTATCTTCATCCAAATAAGCACTTATTTATATACTACTAGTAGTTTTTATACCCTGATGGGCCCAGAATCAGATTGGGCTGATAGATGATGCATGGGCCTTATTGGAGGTTGTTTGGGCATTGTTAAGCTGAGGCCTTTGCGCTATGAGAGGCCTAAAATAAAAGCCATTTTGCCATTTTGGCACCCAACACAATGTTTATATTGTAATACTACTAATAGTGGTAGCATTAATAATTTTCAGTTTCTAACTAAGGCCCTGTTCACTTTATCTTAAAAAAATAATATTAAGTAATAATAATTTCTGTTTCGAGTGAAAACAATGGGACCTCGTCGAAGGTCCGATGAAGTGGAGAAGACTGGATTCGGTCCAAGTGATGTTAGGCCGAGTATTTCCTACACAGTAAACACACGTAAACTAGCCTCGGGGGTGTTGCCGAGGAAGGCCCCTCCGATGCTAAAGTCAGTACAGTGTGTATAAAGAGAATGCTATGCAAGAGAATTAATTGCTTGAGGATTTGTTTGAATGAATGCACAAATGTAATATTGATGGCTCTTATACCTTTGCATATATGGAGAAGTTGGGCCTTAGCCCAATTGACTT